AGTGAGAAAAGCCTGTATCAGTTTCTTACTGCTGCTGCTGTAACAAATTACCAGCAACTCAGTGGTTTAAAACAACACAAATTTGTCACCTATATTTCTGGAAGTCAAAAGTCAGTTTCACTCATCTAAAATCAAGGGGTCAGCAGGCCTGCATTTCTTCTAGGGACTTTATCTCATTTCCTTTTCCAGCTTCTAGAAGCCGCCTGCATTCCCTGATTCCTGCTTTCATGGCCCCCCTTCCCATCCCCAAGCCAGCAGCCCAGTGTCTTTATTCTCACTTTTCTGACTGTGACTCCTAAATCTATCTTCACATAGCCTTTCTCCACTCTGACTCAACTGCTTCCCACATTAGGGAACCTTGTGGCACTGGGCTCACCCAGACAACCCAGGATAATTTCCCATTTCAAGATCCTTAGCATAGTCATACCTGCAAATTCCCTTTCGCCAAATAAAGGAACATATTTACAGGTTCCAGGGATTAGGACACGGACATCTTTGGGGGCCATTATTCTGTCTACCACAAAACCAGGGCTGTTGGGCCCATTCACATCCTCCATCTCTGCCAGACAAGTCTGTGTAACTCCAGTCTTCCCTGCACAGCCCCTGACAACTAGCTTGCCTTTTGGAAATCTTCTTGGGATATATTTCTATCAGAATTTCATTCCTAGATGTCTCTCCAGACATGTATATAACTCCTTTATTAGAAAATAAAATTATTAAATTCCAAATTATTATTTTTTGTTTGTAGCTATCGGGAAAACTGAGCTAAATTACCAGAATTTTTGCTATTGCTAACAAGAAAGTTTCCAAAATCTGTTTTAATCCTTCCTCCACTGACTTCACTTTTACTTGATTCTTTCTCTCTTAATTTCTTCTCTTGCTGCTTCCTTCCTTCGCCCTCCCTCCTTTCCTTTCTTCCCACCCCCTCCTCTGTTTCCCTCTCTCTTCTATCTTCAAAGGTTATGGTGCCCTGCATATCCTCTCCATATCCCCACTGCCCATATTTTGAAGACAAAGAGTAAGTCAAGAGGGTCTGGTGGTGTGGGGAGGATGAGGGCAAGTGGGGAGCCACAATGTCTCTCACTTTTTTATCCTTTTTTTTAAAACTTTAGTATTAGTTTTTATTACACAAGTAATACATATTCATTGTAGAAAAATTAGAAAACACAGAAAAGAAAAAAGAAAAAATAATCACCCATAATCCCACTAACCCATAAATAACTACTATTAACATTGTAGTGTATGTCTTTCTAGCTTTCTTATGCATATATATACATACATAGATATATTTATATATAATTATCTTTTTTACAAATGTGTCATACTATACATACTGTTTAATAACATGTGTTTTTCATTTAATATATATTGTGAACATTGTTGTTTATTCCCTGAAAAAATTATACAGATACTACATGCTCATTGTGGAAAAATCAGAAACTATAGATATGCAAAAAGAAAATATAATTGCTCTAAATCTCACCTCCCAGAGATAAATGCTGTTAACATTTTAGCAAATATCCTTTCAGATGCTTTAATGCACACATGTATATGTATACTTTTAAAATGGGAACATACTATGGATATTCTGTAACTTTCTTCTCTCATTTAACCATATAGCTTCTTCATTTCAATAAATATACATACAGTGTTTATTCTTAATTGGTGCACAGTATTCCATTGAAAAGATATACCATTTTTAACCATTCAATACTGTAGGCTTATTTGCATTTTCCCATTTCTCAGGTAATGCTGCTGTAAGCAACCTTCCTTGCATATATTTTTTGAATAATTACTGTAACTTAGCTTATTTTTTCTGACCTTTTTAAGGAGAATTTCCCTAACATGCAAGTACTTGGCACACGTGAAAATATACTGCCAAAATATTTCCAGAAAGGCTGAATCAGTTACACTCTTGTTGACTCTGTAAAAGAACATTTACTTCCATACTTCCTTGCTACCCCTGGGAACTATAATTCTTTATATTCTTTGCCTTTCTGTAACCTAAAAAGGAGTAGATCATAAGAATTTGCACTTTTGATTACTAGTATATTGAAATACTTTCATATTTATTATTAATTAGTGCATTATTTTATAGTACATTGCCAGTTTGTGTCCTTGGCTCAATTTTCTACTGGAAAGTTTGATTCTTTTTGAATTATAAAATGTTATTTATTCATGTATCCATTATTCATTCATTCAATAAACATGTTTTAAGTATTTGCTTTGTGTCTGGCACATGTTAGGTGCTGAAGATGTAAGAGTAAGAAAATAGACATTGCTGCTGCCTTCTTGGACTTCCGGTTTAATAGAGAGAAACACAATTAAACAAGCAAGAATGAAAAAAATGCAATAAGGAAAGGAAAGACTGAAATGAGGACACTGGCTGGGAAGGAGGTTGTGATAATGGAAAACTTCCTAAAGGTAGTAGAGTTTAAGCTCTTGGTATATATTAGAGATCTACACTCTTTGTTGCATATATTTCAAATTTTGTTTTCTCTTAATCTACTTTGTTATTTTTTACTGTATAGGAGTGTCGCAGTTTTAATTGGTCAGATCCACCCATCTTTTCCTTTGTAGTTTCCTCCTTTGGTGTCATGCTTAGGGAGGCTTTTGCCACACTAAAATTACATAAATATTCATCAATTTATATGTTTGTCTATGTGCTTTAACATTTACATCTTTACTTCACCTAGACGTTATTTTGATGAAAGTTATGAGGTATAGATCTAATACTTCCCCCCAACATATGGCTAACTAGTTATGGCAATATAATTTATTTAATAATCCCACCTTTTTTCATAGATTTGAAATGTCATCTTTCAATGTACTCGATTCTTTTGTGTTTTTGGGTGTACTTCTGGACTTTATATTTAATTCTAATGATCTGTTCTGGGCCAATAGCATCATTGCTTTTTCTCATCCATCTACAGTTTCCTGAAAACTGAGCATTTTGCATTTGGTCATGATCTAGAACACAAAGAAATGATAGTTATTGCTTAGGGGTGTGTGTGTTGGGAGGAGTGGGTGGGAAGTTAGTTTGGATGATATCCTTAATCCTTTCAACTCTGAGACTTCCAGAGTTTGAAATTTCATATGGGATCATTGTTAATCTAGTCCATTTATTTGCTGTCTAAAAACTAAGATGCTTTTTATACTCTTGTGTTTTCCCTACTCACGCTAAAGCTCAGCTTCCAGTAGGTGGCGGTATTACCAAACAGTAAGTATTCTAACTCTTATCAGGAACACGGAGAACAAAATGTTCTGGCAGGATTTTAGAATTTCCCCAAGAGCTTTCATTGGAGGAGGCATCAGGGCTCTGCCACTTTTGAAGTCTTCTTTGTGCCCTTGAACATCAGCACAACTAGAAGTTTGCAGTCAAGCTGTTCTTTAAGGCATGCAAAACATTGGTGGACAGATATTTTAAAGTAACAATGTTGGCTCTGTGGGCATTTCCTCACATACCTTTATCCAAAAGTGTCTGTGGGCCCAGCCACTAACTGATTTAAAGTCTGGGAATGTGGCTTTAAGTAATGAGATTGTGGTGGGATTCAGGTGGTTTTTCTTTTCTGTATATTGGTGGTATTTTCAGATTTCCCACAAAGAACATGTATTACCTCTGTAAATTAGAAAAAAAAATCAACATAGGGTATTAAAAGTATGGTGGCAAGATGGGTGAGTGTGTGCCAGAAAGATTGTACACCCTCTTCTGTTTCAAGCCTGCGAGTGCATGCAGCAGAATGGGTTCAGTGTTCTCTCCTTATCAGTGTTATTGCTAATCTGAAAGCGAATTACCAGCAGGAAGCTGAGAGAGTAGAACTCTATCTCATGGAACTACACCTGAGAAAGTCCTTTGGTAGGTGAGAGGAGAGTGGGGTCAGCTCCTGAAGAGATGCACTGGCTTATCTAATGGGAGATGATGAATTATCTATTGCAACTAAGAGCCAGAGTAGGTTATTAGGACTTTGAGCACTTAGTTTAATTTTAGGGCCTGCTAGTGAAAGATCTATAAATCTTGGAGTATGTCCACTGGAACTATAAAACTGATCAAAGGCTGGGAAATAGGCACTATGAATAAAAGAGAAGGTGGCTGACTTTGTTTACCTTAGATATGGAAAGCCTAGCAAGGGAATTAAATAAATTCCCATCTCCATGAATAGCTACTACAGCCCTCCCAGATACGGAGGTGAGACCTGAATTTATTAACAGTCTTTAGCTGTACAAAGGACAATTGCACAGAAGATAAGTGTTACTTTCACACTGAGACTAAGGCGAGAGTGAGCACAAATTAACCAAGCAGAAGTGATTTAGGTCAGGCATTTAGAAGAACGTGCTGAACACCAAGGTTGGGCCTATCAGGTAATAACTTTACATGAATTAGTAGGAACTAGATTGAAGCTAAGGGTTCAATATGGTAGAAGGTGGGAAGAGGACAGAATGGGAGCTGAGAGCCTGCCAAATTGGCTACTTCACAGTTTCTAAAACAATGGACCTTAAGTGAATTAACCTCAGGGGATGAAAATGGACGGCATTTGGGAAAGGATATTAAACTTTAATCAAACCTGATGTACAAAATCAGGGTTTGCAGACCAGTTAACTCTGAGAGTGGTTACCTACTCGGCAAGGGCGTATCCACCCTAGGAGTCTTTAAGTAGCACATTCCTATTTCATTCATACAACTGTTTCACACATATGTGATTTAGAAAATTGTGATTTCCTCATATAATTTTCAAGGGTACTTCTTTGTGTGAAGTCAGGCATACCTATAACCATGCATTCATTACCAGTTCATTGGAACACAACTCTGGATTCCAAGAATAAGGCTAACAACCAGCTGGCATAATCTAAATAGAGACCTGCAGAGCCTTTTGAGATCTCCTCTAGCACTTTAATCATTTTCCTTTCAATCACAAAAGCTAGAAGACAATTCCAAGTATGATTTTCACAACAGATACTAGGTTGAGTTATATGAAACTGCCACTTTTGTGGGTCATAACCAGCTGGCATAATCTAAATAGAGACCTGCAGAGCCTTTTGAGATCTCCTCTAGCACTTTAATCATTTTCCTTTCAATCACAAAAGCTAGAAGACAATTCCAAGTATGATTTTCACAACAGATACTAGGTTGAGTTATATGAAACTGCCACTTTTGTGGGTCAAAACAGTCCAATATCAGCAATTTCATATAATTCAGCCTAGTACAGTAATTTTTCCAGTAGTTCATCTGTACCTCTCTTCATCTTCATGAAAGTTAGACACTTTAATATATTTGGTTTTTAGGTCAGAATATTGGTGGGCGTATAAATGAATGTACACATAAGTACTGGGAAAGTATAGGGTTGGGATTAAAGATGTGTCTTGGATAAACCACTTACAGACATCTAGCTCATCCTTTTATTGTACTAGACACTGGTGTCTCTTGTCTGGCTTTAGGATCTTTCGGAAAAAGCAAGAAAAGTCCAAAGGCCTGATCTCTCAACCCATGGGAAATTCTGTCTGGGAAACGGGCCAAAGGAACAACAGGGGAAAATATAACAAAATTTGTACCATGTTACATGTTTAGTGGAGGAAGATCACAACAAAGCTGTGAACAGAAAAGCAAAGCCCGTGGCTTCCTCCTTTTCTAAAATACAGTATTGCTTATTGTGTCTTGCTTTCAAGATTCTAAGCATAAGACAAGACACCAAGTACACACTGGAGAAGTCATATCTCCATAGTCATCTAAAGGAGAAAAGCTTAGCTTAACTAAAAAGATTTTAGTAATGTAAAAGGTTAAATATTTTTACTATCTGGGCTAATTCCAGCATGCCCTATAAGATTTAACACTATGCCGATGTGCAGACACCATGCTTCAGGTTTAAATTAGAACAGAATGTGATAGTATTCAATTTTACATTGGAGGGTAATTGTATATGTTACCACACCATTTTCTAACTGGATTACTTCATTCTCCAAGAAGCTGAAAAAGACACCATTGGATCAAAAGGAAATTAGTTGCCCATATGCATTGTACGAAGGTATTAGGATTATCGTGTATTTACAAAATTTCAATACTTTCCATATATGGTTTTTGTTGCATTACAAATTAAGACATTTTTATGTCGAAGCTCTTAGATTCTGACAGAATGGAAGACTAAACGTAACTGAGTGCAGAGAAAGCAACAGGTGAGGTGGCATATGTTTGATTATAATATCATTTCTAATAATACTGATTAGATTTTTGAACACAGTTTTGCAGTATTAAGTAGATTTCTATGTTTAAAGACTCTTTTATCTATGATAAATTGTTAACATGAGATCAGCAAGAGCTGTAGATATACTATTGTACATGAAATAATTTTTCTCTGTAAAATATAATTAAAAAAACCTTTAAATAATTTAAAAATCATAATTCTTGCATCTGTCATGGTTTGGTTTGGAGCGGACATGCACAATGTCAGCTTTAAAAATGTTTTTAAAAACAGCCTGCTTTTTAAACTTTTTTTTCTTTTTTTTGACAGCAGCTGCTTTCAAATGTAAAATCATTTAAAAGGCCAGGGGGAGGTGGATAAAAGTAATGAGGAAGTATAGAAAACATAGTCAAAAACCAATAACTGTTGTTCAGATGTCCAGAGGTCTTCAGATTCTATGATATTTTCAGGTCTTCCCAATGGCGAATTTCCAGGAGGAATCATCTAGCTCGAGACGAGACAACACAGCCCAAAGAACCTTCTCTTCCGTCTTCTAACCAGGGGGTAGGGAGTTAGATTTAGAAGGCTGCTGTCATCTGTGGTGAGACAGAAAGTACATATGAGAGAGGGCCAGATGAAACAACCTGTTCTTTATGAATTGGTGTTAAAAATCCACCGTCCTTTGCACCAAGGTTTCCTAACCTGGCACTGTTAAAATTTGCACCAGATAATTCGTCGTTGCAGGCTGTCCTGGGCACTGTGGGGTGTTTACTGGAGCCCGTGGCGTCCACCCACTCACTAGATGACAGTGGTGCTCCCCAGCCAGTTGTGACAATCAAAAAAGTCCCCAGATATGGCCAAAGGTTCCCTTGGTGGGGGGGCAGATAGCCCACGGTTGGGAACCATTGCCTAGAACGAAATTTCAGCTGCTTAGAGCCACTCTTTTGGCTGGGGGAAATGCAGCTTCTTAGAATCCATGCTTTGGAGTTAGACTGGGTTTTCTGTACCTGCCTTTGCCATTGACTAGCTCTGTGACTTTGAACATGAACTTAAACTCCCTAAGAGTCAGTTTCTCCATATGCAAAATTGGGTTTAATAATATTTACTTTAGGATTACATGAAGTAAACTGTGAAAAGCATTTAGTTTGGGTGGGACCTTACTGCCTAGCACAGAAGAAGCACCAGTAAATACAGCTGTGGTTAACTATTTTCCTTTACTTAGGTCCATTGTCTTGCCTCCATTCACCAACTTCATGCCTCACAGAGAAGTTTCAACGCTTCCTGGTGGAGCCCTTCCTTGGCACTTTCTATAGCTTTCTGTATACAAGGGCATTCAGAGAAGACTGCCAGATGTCGAATTCATAAGTTTTGGTTGAAATTTTTACCATGATGACAAGTAGAGGAAGAAATAAATCAGTAAAATAAATCTGGTTTAATGAGCTGAGTTTTTAAGAAATAGCACAGTCCAAAAGACAGGGTGGGTAGAAACAATTTGTTGGAGCAGAACTGGCCCCTGTGGGTCCCAGAGTCTGAGACGGACTGCAAGGAAATAACCTGGAAATTGCCAATGGGGCCAGTGCTAGGATATGGTCAGAATGGAGGTGGGCTGGGCACTGAAATGGCTGGTTGGCTCTGGCAACTGTTCTGTACCTGAGCTTTGCCAGGGCTCGTTGCACTGCCCTCCCAGAGCAGAGCTAAGGGGCTCCCTGTTGTCCCTGCCTAACCTTGAGGATACAGTATCTTGGGAAAGGGCCCAGAATCGGGAGTTAGATTAAGAGTTGGATGTAGAGTGGAGAATGTGCCCCAGTTCAATAAGACTAGTTTGTAGATGAGGGTTGTTTTCTTGCTTAGTGAGCCCAGACACTCAGGAAACTGTCAAGAACAAAACCAAGTCTTGGCTTTCTGGTCCTCTTACGTAAATTGTATCATTCAAATGCCCGGCTTTCCCTTCCCCTCCCCAAATGCTGTTCTGTGTTATACTTACTTAGAAATCGGCATTACCTACCAAGTTGACACTGTTCCTAAGAACGGTTCTCTATGCTGTACATTTAGGTGGAAATAGAGCAGCAAGTTGGAGCCAGGGAAGAAAAAGGCACCCCAGCTGGGGACATCAAGTGAATCAAACACAGGTCACTCGCTCAGTCTCCACAGGTTAAAATTCTCTCTTAAGACTTATATTCTGCTACCATGGAGAAAGACTCTTTGTTCTTTCAGAGTGAAAATAATTCACTCTGATCTGGATGTCAACATTTTGAGACTAAAAATAGGACATTGCTCTTTTTAGTTAAACCTGCCCCCAATAGATAAGACACTAAAAGCCATGTCAAATACTATATATGAGCCTGATTTCTCAGGAGAATCTCTCAGAGATGAATCATGAGGTATTTGGAACAGAAAGAAATGATAACTCACTTTCTTATCATTTTTAGGATTCTTACTTCTTTAACCACTGAATGATCCATGAACTTAACCTAATTGGGCAAAGATACAGCAGACTCTGAACGGTAAAGAATTTTACCTTTTGGTATCTCTTTGGATACTGACTACACTTCCTGACACTCAAGTTCTCCTGGAATTTAATGCTTCCCTGTAACAGAATAATCAATACTAGGACGATAGTTACAGGAAAGAAAAATTTCATTTCTATTTCTCTTAGACTTGAAAGATGTATTTCCTGAGTCCAGATATATCCTTCCCTTTCTCCAAATATTTAAGAGCTTTGGGGGAGTTTTGGACCTGAGCCATAAATATGTATTATAAAATGCAAGTCTGATGTGTACTCTTTTCATTAATGAGGAAGTGTCAACTACAATGTATAAACTACAATGTTGAATTTACAAAGAAAATGTGCATGTGTGTGCTGTGGCGTGCATGTGCTGTGGTGTGTGTGTGTTCTGGCATGTATGTGTTGTAGAGTGTGTGTGCTCTCGCATGCATGTGCTGTGGCCTGCATGTGCTGTGGCGTGCAGGTGCTGTGGTGTGTGTGTGCTCTGGTGTGCATGTTCTGTGGCATGTGTGTTCCATGGCATGTGTGTGCCATGGCGTGCATGTGTGCTGGTGTGCATGTGCTGTGGCACGTGTGTGCTCTGGCGTACATGTGCTGTGGCGTGTGTGTGCTCTGGGTGCATGTTCTGTGGCATGTGTGTTCTGTGGTGTGTGTGTGCTGTGGCGTGCAGGTGCTGTGGTGGTAGGTTTGCTCCCAGTGTCCCTTTTTAATGTGTTAAAAGCCCACAGGTATTATGAGATTTGTATCAAGACTGACCCTTGTATCTATGCATTCATTACAGTATATCAAAAAGCTTTAGGTACTGTTGAGATTTTCTTCACTCAGCCTATATATTCATTTGTGTGTGGCAACGCACACACGCACACACACACAGAGCTTTCACAAGTGAATAAGAAGTGCTAGAATTGATGAGAAAGTGCTCAGATGTTAAACAAGGGACGGGCTGCCTATTAAAGCCTCCCGCTGGTTTGGAGCAGCTTTGTTCAGCGTTTGTGACACCTTTGCCTAGCCCAGAGCTTGTCTGATCGGCACCTAGGGCTGAGGTGACACAAAAGCTCAAAATTTCTTGGCAGAGATTCAGAGCAGCTTTCTACACCATAGGAAGCTGACATCTGCAGTACGTGCTGAAATTCACTGAGCAATAAGCAGCCTGGAATGGTGTGAAGTGACTTCCACTCCAAGGAAAGATGTCTTTCCACATTGACTGAAATCCTGCCTCTGAAGTGAGGGGCTGTTGAAAGAATGTCAGCAAAATGGAATGTTCCCTACTCGTCCTAAACTTTCTGGGTTAATTCACTTGAACTTGTTGGGGAATCTGATTTTTATCATAAATGTTTGAGTCTTTTATAGCATCTGTTTTCTAAAGTGTATACCCTGGGAGGGCTATAACCTAGGACAATTTTTAATGTCAAAATGAAAAGTGAGAAAGGGAAGGGGAGCAAGGAAAGCAGAGGAGAATGAAGAGGAGAGCAGGAAATTCTTGCATCAGTGAGTTTCAACCCAGTCATTTGATGTTTAATTCCTGGTTACTGCTAGAGCCAGGGACACTAGGTCCCCTAAGGCACATGGATACCATTTCTCTATTGCTCAAATTTCTTTGCTACTAAAAGATTTCTTATATAGATGTTATATTAACAAACAGAAGGACATGAAAATGAGAATTTTTCAAATGAACTGCACTTGACTTTAAAGCTATGTTCTCAGATTAAAGTCAAGAGAAGTGCTTATAATTAATGGACCTACAGCTGCAAATTTCTATTCCAGGAAAAAAAAGATCATCAGCAGATCCAGTGGTTCTCAAACATTAGCTGCATCAGAATCATCTGAGGGCTTGTGAAAAGCCCAGATTTCTGGGCCCACCTCCAGAGTCTCTGAATCAGTAGGTCCAGAGTGAGGCCAGAGAATTTGCATTTCTGACAAGTTCCCAGACATGCTGCTGCTGCTGGTCCTGAGGCTCTACTTTGAGAGCCACCGAACTAGTCAAAGGTGTGCTAAGTGCAGGCTCTGTGTTGGGTGCTGGAGGTAATATAGGATGGGTCCTCATAGAAAGAGGGTCTTCAGTCTCAAGGATTTCTGCTTGTGTAACCACGAGGCTTCATTAGAAATGCCAGCAGAGGGATGCAAACACAATGCTGTGAGAATTCCAGCGGGGAAATTATTTCCAAGGGGAGGAGAAGGAAGAAGACACTTGTGGAACACTTATGGAGGTCTTGGTATTCATGCTGGGGCACAAGAGCTGAGGAGAACTTGGACTGGTGATGGGGTAGATGGGCATTCTGAATGGAGAGAGCAGTGAAGACAGAGACACACAGGTCAAAGACGGACTGAAATTTGGGTCCAAGTAAATAGTCCAGTTGGGCTGGAGTGAAGGGCATCTGAAGGAGGGTAAAGGTACAAAACGTAACTCCTTAGGATTCTCTAAATACAGCCATACCTTCTCTTGCCTCCCTGCCTTTACACATGCCATTACTTTTTCCAGAAAAGCTCTCCTTTAAGATCAGCTTAAATACTTTATCCTCCCCCAGGAAAGTCTTTTCTGACTGCTCCATGCTTCTGCATCCCTTCACCCTCCCATTCCTTCTAAAACAATTGCGGTAGCCCTTGGGACACTATCTGCTTTCAACCCTGTCTATCCCCCGCATCATAAGCAACTCTATAAAAGTCTTAGAAAACTTACTCTTGCCACCCCAGTGCTTCATATTCCACTTACTCCATGACCCTCCTTAACTAGGCTTCCAGGCCTCAAATTCCAAGTAAGGTGCTTTTGCCAGCATCACTAGTGACTGACTAGCTTTTTGCTAAATCCTGTGGACACCTTCAGTCCTTACGTACCTTAACTACCCTGTGCTATTAACCAGTTCTTCCTTGCAATGTGCTTTGATTTATTTCATAATGCTCTTTTGTTTTCTTCTCAGTCACCTTTGTAAACTGCTCTTCTTTCCCCTCAAACATTAACTTTTGGTATTCCAGTGTTCTTCTCTATGTACACTCCTTGAGTGGTCTCAACCATTCTTAGAGCTTCAATTACCATTATGCTGATGATGCTTAAATCTGTACTTCCAGTCTCCCAGTTCACATAAGACTTATACA